TAAGTATAATATAGGGGGAGGGGATCATTAGTAAAGTGGATTAGTGACCCCGTGCATGACCAAGTTCGGTCTGCCTCCATCGAGGGAGGTCGCTGTAAATTGTAGTTAATTCCTGGTGAATACTCACGATCAGCCAACTGTTCTGACTTCAATCTCACAGTATCATCCTGCGTTAATCCTTGCTGTTGTATACCGTTATATCAAGCGAGTGTATTATTGTCTATGCAATCACGAATAAAAAATGCAATAAGTGTAAAAGGTAATTGATACAGTTACTTTATGTGTACTAATAGGTATAAACTTGCAAGCGAGCTACATGACCTCACCACAGGACTCCCTACAAGGTTACGATGTCTACGGCGTATGTGCAATTGAAATACAACTGGACGTGCTGACCGGCACGCATCTTATACAACGGGTTGACTTACTTGAGGATGCTGGTATTAGCCTCAGTCCAGATATAGATGTGGGACAGGCAAGTGAAGCTAATTATATCTATTTAAAATACAATTCGGTTGCAATTTCTATGTATGATTAGGTTAACTTAATATTTCTAAAAATATACTACCTATTATATATTAATATAATACTAGCTGACCCGAAAACGTTGTTTTGTCTTACAAATTAAACTCGGTATTTAAAACTAAGGGTTGGTGTATGTATTTTTCAATGCTAAATTATAATCAAATTAAAATTTTTATCGAAAAAATGAATAAGAAAATTTTAGGGTGAGCCACCCTTAGCTCATAGCGATATAAAAAATATTATAAACCTATTCTCAGCTCAGACCTACTGAATATACATATAAAATTTCATCAAAATCGGTCAAGCCGTTTCGGAAGAGTATAAACTCGATAACCTATGTCACGAGAATTTTATATATTAGAAGATGTAAGAATATCTAGTGAGAAAATCAATTAATTTAAAGTAGGTTAGCATATTAGGCATGTACAATAAAATCTCAGGAATGTGAATGACGTGTTATGTTTATAGCCGTTGATCGAAAGGGGAGGTGCGGGGTGGGAGGCTACACTGCTATACTTTTTTTGTTGAATATGTTGTACTATTAGGTATCCTGTGGTTAGTCTTCGAATGACGAATATTTTTAAATATAGTTAGATACTGGAGTAACTAAGAATGTGGTCAATATAATATCATTTATGCTAGATAGACACAATTCCAGTACTGATTGATGCATACCTACCTATTTAATTCTTTTGGAGTATCTAGGTACTACCAACCACCGGCCATGAGTCACTCAAATTTGTTTTATGTCTGGTTAAAATTTTTTAGTTCGCTGACGATATATTATATATGTGCTATAAATGTATGTTTTTTTTGTACCTATATGATAATGAAATTGTGCACCCTCCTGCGCTAACGATTTACGCTGCCCCGCCAGCGTAAACCGTTAGCGCAGAAGGGTACACTGCCGTACCAGTGGGTGATGATAATATGAACATGAAGTCAGGTCAGTTAGCCCACCGTGATGGTTTCCAGGGTAAACCGCGTGGAGGTCAACCTGACATGATCCATTGCTGGCAAAGGGGTCGAGAGCCCACATTTCTAACAATCCCCTTCCCTATATTTGTATTTCAGATCGAAGGTGCCTTTATAATGGGAATCGGCATGTGGACCACAGAACAATTGACGTATGACCAGACAACTGGGCGACTTCTAACCGACCGCACCTGGACTTACCATCCTCCCGGGGCGAAGGATATCCCTGTCGACTTTAGAATCACGCTGCAGCCAAATTCACCAAATCCTACTGGAGTTCTTAGATCTAAAGGTGACTATTTCAATTTTAAAATTTGTTCTGGGTATTTTAAGTATTATCCCCATGGATATTATTTCGTCGACCGTAATAGTGTAGAAGTTTATTACACCAACTAATTTACCTTCTGATGGTCAAGAGTTCGATTCCCGCACAATATAGATACCTACATTGTAAATGTACTTACAGGTAATTGTAGTGGGTTTAAAATACTATTATTTAAGAAAAGTACATATTCTCTCGCTTATAAAAAAGTCAAATGTGACATATAAAAAGTGTATCAAAATAATAAATGCTTCTAAACAGACTGATGGAACAATCTGCCAGCAACGTAGGTACTTGTATTTCTCTGGGTATTTCTATATACCTTATATGTTGTAAATACCTCCTATGTACTGATCTATTGTTTTATTTTAAATATGACATAGATACTCGTAGGTCAAATTAACTATTTCTGTCCTATCCATAGTAAATATATACCCAAATATATTTTCAAATGCAAATACTTGTATAGTGCATAAATCAAACCTACAACCACCATAAGGTAAGGTAGTGTGTTAAACCGCCAAAACACCCAGATCATACCTACTATTTTTTAAGCTAACTTGATTACCTACGGGTACGTACACATTTCGAGATATTTATGTAATTTTTTTTTTCATGTCTTTTAAATACCTACTGTCAATGTAATAGCTGATTTTTTCAATTTTAGCTACTGGAGAGCCAGCCTTGAGTTTAGCGGTAGCAGTGACATTTGCATTACACGAGGCTGTTTTAGACGCAAGGAAAGAATTCGGATACCAGGATACTGATTGGGTTTCAGTAGGTAGGTAATTTTTTATTTTGCTAACTTTTTCTCAAATATTATTATTATATACATGTGTTAACTATTTGAATATATTTAATACCTTGGACAATTCAGAGCTTGTGAGAGACAATGGGTACTAAACAACTGATATAATACTTAAATACCTTTTTTCTATAAATATATATATAGAAAACAACCAAAGCACCGAAGCCATCATAATAGTAGGTGACCACACTTCATCCGATTTTTTACATAAAATATGACGAACACGGCTGTTCATCCCAGTGATAGAATATATTCTCATATCAAATTTCAATAAGATCCGTTCAGCAGTTTAGTCGTGGGTAACAAAGGTTGTTATTAACAAAGGGTAATAAATAAACTAGATAGAAATCGCTTTAAAATTATTACGGAAGTGTGGATTAGCTAGCATATTCTGGAATTTTTCATTTAATATTAACAGGGCCAGAGCTATGTAGGTATATAATGTTTATAACTTGACTTGTTTCAGATGCACCGTACAACGTGGAAAATATACTAAAAGCAATATCACCAAAACATGAATATTACAAATTGGACTAAGTGAATTTAAGGCCAAGGTGCATTATACAATAGATAATAATTATAATAAAGATTTTGTAATAAATGGTATATATAGAATTTTAATTAATACGATATACGTGAGTCCTCTTATATTGAAAGTAGATGTTTTACGTGAGTTCGCCTGTTTTTTGATGCAAAAGATAGCTTATACAATCTTGTACGTCACATGACCTATCTTCACACCAAATTACATAAGGATTCGTCGTGAAAAAGTCGCCCAAACCACAGTGAGATGGGGCCAGTCCTACAACAACTAGGTACAGGGCGGGCCATCGCCGTCACAGTCGTGGTAGAATGTAGGTACATACGAAAGCCCTGACTCCAGCACTGGCGATTGCAAGTATACAGTGGGTACAAATTCCACACTCCACCTTGCCAGCTCTCCAGCGGGGTCTTTGCAAGTCCAAGAAGACACAAGTTTGCGTGTTTACCGCTAAAAAGAGTCCATTTATCGTGTCTCCTCAGTTTCAAGACACTCTCCTTGATTTGAAGCCAAATCTCGAGGTCCTTGGCGTTGATATATCCAGTGACGTTGAAATAGCCTCTAAAAAGCTTGGTATGCTCAGTAGAGTGAGACGGTATTTCACGGCGGCCCATCGCTTGCAATTATATAAGGCGCAGATTCGGCCGCATATTGAATACTGTTCTCATCTCTGGGCGGGAGCACCACAGTACCAGCTACTTCCATTTAACCCGATCAGAACCGAGCAGCCAGAATCATTGGTAATCAACGTCTATGTGACATACTCGACTCATTGGCTTTGCGGCGAGATATTGTATCTCTATACATTTTCTACCGCATATATCACGGGAAGTGTTCTGAGGAATTGTTCGGATTAATACCAGCTGCTGAGTTTCACCACCGTACCATCCGCCAGAAAGTAAAATACCATCTTGATCATCTGGATGAATGACAGTGCTCCACAGTGCGGTTTTCTAGAAACTTTTTGCCACGCACAACCACATTGTGAAATCACCTTCCAGCAATGATATTTCCGAACCGATACGATATTGAAATCTTCAAGAAAAGAGCTTATTCCTGTTTAAAAGGCCGACAACGTATTTGCAATTCTCCTGGTGTTGCGGGTGCTCATGGGCGGCGGTAATCACTTACCATCAGGCGAACCGCATGCTTGTTTGTTCCGTGTTATATAAAAAAATATTTTCTACACGTTACAAAAAAGTTTATAATCCAATAGCGTAAATATGACCGTGATATTCAATTCAGTAGTCAGCTCAAGTGGCGTCTATTTCTTTTTCGTCGTAACTGGCACACTGTTTACTTGTCTCTATCCTTTTAACCCTGTTTCTCCATATTATATTATGTGTTGTCAAGTTATACATTTCTCAGTGCAGAAATATTGCAAGTGCAAACCTTCTAAGTATTTTCAACAAGTATGCGATAATGGGAACGTAGGTTGCATTCGGGAAACCTAATAACTGATCTGTATAAAATCAAATTCAAATTCAAAAATTGTTTATTCATGTAGGACATTTTAGCCGCTTACGAACATCAAATTTTTGACATTATAATTTTACCATACCGTCCAGTTCGGTATATAGATCCAATTGAGAAGAACTGGCAAGAAACTTATTTGAATTACTTTTTTTTTTGAAGCCAGTTTATTTACAATGTATATTTATATAGGTGTCTATGTCTAACATTAAATGAAAATCTAGTGCATGAACAACTATTGCCCTGCACGCTCGTCATTCAAGTAATCGTTTAGTGAGTAATAGGCTTTGCTCAGTAAAAATATATAAGCAGCCTGTAGAAAAGTGTATTAGTCATATACAAAAAGAACAAAACAGTGATATTTCATTCATTTATTTTACGCTCATTATGTAACATATGCAATTGAAATACCTTCCATATATATAAAATACATTTATATTAAACAAGATTGCTAGTAGAAAAGTCCCAATATATGGAATAGGCTAATTGGTATAAATTATTGAATCCAGTAGATATATCAATGCAATATTATAATTACGCTGGATGTCACTTTTATTTCTGCAGTTTTGTCTGTGGATCGAAACCGAATTGCTTCTAGCAATGTCACAGAATCAAATGTATTTTATACAGAAAGAGTTTTAATTACTTCACGATATTATTATATACAATATTTAATGTCTGAATTCTTAACCCTTGCTGTACAAAAATTTCAAACAGCTCTCATTTAATGCTTATGTTCTATTTTGTAAAAAAATATTATTCATGTTTCGTCAAAATAAACAATTAAGAGAAAATGTTTAGATTTTACTACCTTTTTATTTTAAAATTACAAAATTGCTTTACAATTTTACAATCGGCGAGTATTTTATAAGAGTAAAAGTTGCAATCAATCTTATGGGACCAGTATCATCTTTGAGATCTTGTACCATCACTAAAAACTACAAGAATTTTATATTTGTAACAATTTTTTTATTTTATAATAATTTACAATACTATCAGAACATTAATTCAGTGTAAGGTAAGTAAGCCAAGAAAAAGATGTATTTATTTATATAAGTAAATTCATCAATAATACTTTAATTATAATGTTCATAGTTTTATTAACTATGAACATTATATTTAACTAAGTAACTAGCGTCATCCGGTCATAACGACATGAGTGACATCGTATGGGTACTTTTGTCATTCCATCCCTGGAGGCAGTGGTTCTAGCGGGTTCATCGGTGGAGTATACTGGGCATCCTGTTGAAATAAAACAATTATTTCATTTATGATTTCTTCCTGTATGGTGGTAGGCTTCACATATAAAATTACAACTTTTTATGAAAGGAGTACCAGCCACTTCTAGTCAAAACTGAAAAACTATAAAGGAAACAGCTTAGATTTTGACAAGATTTACTTTTTATTCTTTTAGAACAGAGAAGATTTCCATTGGAAGATGTTATGCCTGTCCTGTAATGTCACTGCCAAATCTGTATCCTATAACTAAAACGCATAGCAAACTTGACGTGACAGATAGGTGAGACTGAGTTCCCCACGTAGAAGACTTTTTAGTCTACCTTTGGTTAATATTTAGGTACCTGATGTAATAGAGCAGCGAGGTGTGGCGGTAAAGGTGGCGGCAGCTTAGCCACGTGAGCACGCAGCGGCTGTAGCGCTGTCGGGATTGAGGAGAGGGCTATTTGCAGCGCTCGTGGCGGTAGTACAGAGAGCAGGGTGCACGAGCCGGGCAACAGACGTGTACAGCACTTGATCCAGCCTTCCCAAGCCACTTTGTTCGTCCACACCTGTAACAGTCCCATAAAAAAAAACATTGTGAGATCTACCCATGGAATAAATTCGTAATATCATGACGAAACAAAAAGTACAAAATATATTGTTATATTATAATAATCTTTATTATGGTAGACAGCCAGATAAATTATTTATTTATTAATTACAAACACATAGAGTACATGACATTAGGAAAAAATAAATTGTACAAATATTTATGGTAGATTTTTATCCCATGTTATGTTATATTATTTATTTAGTGGTCCAAAGGGGTGATTAAAATGATTTTTAATAAATATGCCAACTATTATTTAATTAATTAATAAAGTAACAGAAGTCATTACATAATGTTTGATAAATTATTGTCATTTTATTTATCATCAATATATATAAAGTACAAACATGTTGTTTTATAAACTACAAATATGTTTTCATATTTGTAGTTTATAAAACATGTTATGTACGAGATTATTCTACAGCGACTTATATGACCCTCTAATAATTTTTTTATTGAATGATATTTCTATACATTTTTAGTGCACAATGAAGTTTTATTAAGCTTAATAGATTATTATTAATCTTTTTTTTAATTTTCTATAAAAGTAAAAAAAGGTTATGTATGGTATTGATTTTTAAAATATAATCAACAAGCTAATTAGCAGCTATTAAGTGTTACTGATAGTCGGGAAGTATGTTAATTAATTTGTATGTCTTTATAATGAATATTATCACTATTATCATATTCACCTCTTTCTCTATGAGAAGTTGGAGCACGTTGACCACGAGTGGTTCCAAGCCCGGGTACAGGGTGAGTCCCTGCAGTACGCTGCGCATCATCAACACCGGAATTTCAGGTTCTTCACTCAACCGTTGTAGTACAGCCGCTATTACCTTTTTGAAGAATAAATTCATTATCATTATTTATCTGTCCTTCTGTTTGTAATCTCGTGAAACGGCTGGACTGATTTTGACGGAGCTCTCAGATATTAGTAGCGTAATGTGGACTAATAACACCATTGCTAGCAATGTACCATATCAGGTTGACCGTGGGGAACCGTGTGGATTCCCCTTAGAAACCATCGTGATAAATTCCTGATGAGTTTACCACGATGGCCTAACTGACCTGAATTCACGATCATTATGTCATCCTCCACTGGTGTCCCGCCAGTGTAAAACGTTAACGCTGGCGGGTGCACCATTCCATTATCATCAATAAGAAAAAAATATATAATAATAATAGTGGGTAGGCGGTTAAATAAGTAACAGCTGATATTGTATATGTAGTATAATTTTATTTATTTTAAAATAGTAATTCTTTATAATATAGTGTAAATAGTAGTTATAATTTATATTTACATCCCTATGCTATAATATTTGTGATTTGAATACCTGCCAGAAGACGCTAACACAACTTTCACTATCTCACTGTGCAACACACCCATACAATGACATCCATACTTGATGTACTTAGAACACAGGCCATCTTGGAGAAGAGACTTCACGAGCGCATTAACACCTTTGAAGCACAACTGAAGGCATCCCCACAAGAACCCAGCTTGAAGCAACTTAGTGATGAGTTCCAGTGTTTCCGTGAGCAGATGTGCTCTTCAGTTGCTTTGTTGAGGCAGCAAATTGGCCACCTTATAACCAGCATGGATGCAATGGAGAACCGTCACCGCAAGAAGTTCTTGCTTCTAGGGGGAATTGCAGAGAGGACAGATGAGGCAGTATGCGATGTAGCAGTCTCCGTCATTACCAAGCACCTAGGAGTACAGGAATGCACATCTGATAAACTCGAGGTCTGCCACCGCCTTGGTGCTCCTTCTGCTGGCCGATGTCGCCCCATTCTGATGAAGTTTACTGACCCATCACTTCGTCAGGCGATATGGGCAAAGAAGACGCTTTTTAAGGGCAGCTCGTATCTGCTGACGGAGTATTTGACTCGTTTGCGGCAGTCGCTGTTCTTCGAGGCTCGAAAACATTTCGGGATCCGTAATGTGTGGACATTGGATGGAATTATAAGTGTGAAGCTTCCTGATAATTCACGTGTCAAGTTGTTTACATTAGAGGAGTTGGAAAAGCTGATCGCTTTACATAAGCCAGCCGAAACTTATGCGGCGCCTGCATCTGTGAATGTGGCTTCGGTTTCTGAAACTGTGGGCGTCAGTGGTAGGTCTGCTTCCGCTGTTACAAAGCAGCAGCGGTCGATCAGGGTGACCAGGAAATGATCTAGTCGTCGCGTGTTTATATGCCTTGTATACTACGTATATACTTCTCCACTCGAAAACATTATGTCAGTGGTTATATTTCTATTATTATGATATTTTTCTTGTTCTCTTCTTATAGTTTACACTTACAATTTGTTCATTTATTTATTTATGTATATTGCTGTCTATGATATTACCGTCATATTGTTTTTATTTTATATTTAATACCGTCTTTTATTGTATAATATTAAGAGGCCTTTCACATTTTTTGGCCTAAAAGCAGTGTCTTTGGGGTTCTGGTTCTAAGAAATTAAGAGTCGGATATACATTTTGATTCCTGAATTATATAGATAGATATCTAATCTTAAAAACAACATCTTTGAAATGTTAATTTTCTCTTTGTTAGTCTTCCTAATTTCTAAAATAGTTTATTCAAAAACGCTAAGAGACAGAAGTTTGGGGTCGTCGTTCATTAATAAACAAACATAAATTGATATGATATTTGTACTAAAACTTGATAATTACTTTATAAATTGAGACAGCATCGTCCTTTTTTTCATTTTCAACTTAAATATCTAAAAAATTGATCATAATGAAACCCGAAATTTCAACAAAACTTTGCCATAATCATTTCTAATTTTCTCATAAATACAACGAAATTTTTGAATAAAAAAAACATAATAATAAAGTTAATATACTTGTAAATTAGAAATATAAAAAAAAAAATATATAAGTTTCTAAGAAAAAAATAAACAATAATAATAATTTAAAGTTGTATAAATTCCGTTGCGCCAAAAGTAAATTCTCAGTGGCGCGCTAGCGCTCGTCGAGGTAGGACCTATGCCATTTTTTACAACACCGCTAAGATAAGACATTCGTCAGTGAACATTAGTATAGAGCGACTAAACCATTTTGATAATTTAAGTAATATTTAATTAATTTTGCTAATATATACTTATTTCTACGAATATTAATTTAAAGTTGTTGTTAAATATATATATAATATTTATTTTAGCATGCCAAGACAAAAGTACAGTTATGCTACAAATAAAACCTACCTACCCTGCTGGACTATGAAAAGCACAAGAGCATGGTATTTCGTCACACTAATGGCAATTAATTGTTAAAATTAAAAAAGATAACATTTTAGTATTTTTAAAAATAACGCTTATCTGAGAGAAAAATGTAAGAAAATGTAAACCAATTTTACTCTATGTTTATTTTGTAGTTTTTTTCTAAATTAAAATAGGGTTATTGTTTATAAAAATACCATTATTATTTTTACGTACATTTGTCTTGTGTTATATAGTGTATATCATCTAGTATGCAATGTGGATTGTAAATAAATTACCAAATTATATATAAATTATATTCCTTAATGTTTAGAGATATTTTATCCAATTTTATTTTATTTTACACAATACAGATATTTCTAAATTGCAGCTATTCTGTTATTATACTCGTTGGACTTTCATTACTGTACAGTTATGTCAAATAATTATGCGTGTTTGGGTGAAAAGTCAACAACATTATAAATGTTTATATTTAGAGACTAGCTTTTAGCTCGCGGCTTCGCCCGCGTGAATATGGGATATATAGGTTATCGCGCGTTTAAAGATCCGTGTACAGTATTGGGACGTTATATATAAACCTTCCTCTTGAGTCTATCTATTCTGTCTATTAAATAACAACGAATCAAAATCTGCGTAGTTTTTTAAGATCAAAACATACATAGATCTATTACATGTGTAGATGATATTTTAACCGGAAATTGAAGCCGTTAAAATGGTATTGGCAGATCAGTTGGAATCATCGGTATTCTTGGTATATAAGCTGGTTGCCCAGCTAACGTACCGGTTATAATGGTCTACAATTAAATTGTCTTTCAATTCTTTAGTAAGCAATATATCCAATGGGACGCCATTGCACATGTTCGGCGGGCTTAATAAGCGAGCGGGCGGATTTCATGACTGGATCATGCTTTTGAGAAATTCCTTCCTCAAGTTTGAGCATTTAGTGTGGGAAATCACTATCTGTGCTTCCATAAAAATGAGCTCTCAAATTTGTCAGTAGTTTTAAACTTTCAATTAAAGTCCATAAGGGAGACGATGTTAATGACACAGAGAGTCTTTCAGAAATCTCCAGCAAAAGTATAAAAGTAATCCCGCCAATGAGAGCAGAGGTGTTTCTAAGGTCTTTTAAGGTTCTGTCCAAAAGCTCTATAGCTCATGGTGATTTCATTACATATAATCAATGAGGCGTCTTATAATAATTTATAAAAAGGTTTGACATTAACAATTAATTATTTATCAAGAATCAAGAATCGGCCAACCAAGAACGAGAAGCTGCAATATCAGCCAATATCATGCGGCGACGTCAATGATGCAGGAACAGCAATGATAGCAGTTGAAGCTTTTTTTTTACAACTTAGAATGGCAAACAAGCTGACGGCTCTCCAGATGGAAAGGGGTAACCGTCGCCTATATACATGAGCAGTACCTGCCATGTTCATATCAGCACATTTTTTCCCTCATGCGTTGCCATTCCTGAAAACTCGGTGTTATTCCCCTGTACCTTGTAAATTCACTACCATATATATACACAGGTAGTCTATATAGATAGATATACATATACACAGATAGTATACCCTGAGAAAGGTATATAAGATAGACTACTTTATAGTGCGAAAAAAGTATTGTAAGGGATTAAAAGCGGAGATGAAAGGTTGTATAAAAGTATCGTCATTGTTTAATTGAAACAAAGAAACTTTTTTAGGTTATAATCTAAATATATTTCCTTTATTTGGTCAATTTCATTATACCACGCTGACGAAGTCGCGGACACACCTAATATACATATAAGGATGGGACCTTTAAATCAAAACAAAGCCTTGAAAACACAACTATTATATATAAATAAAATAATTATTTGCTAAGTATAATATTTAGAACAAGTGAATATGGCAATAATGTATCCGACTCTTATAATAAATTATATTGTATCTATTAATAAATAAACTGAATTAATATGTAAGAAGAATTAATTAATAAATTTATGTTATAGTAATTTCATCTTCCTGTCCTTATCCCAATTATTTGTTACTCATATTACTTAAGGTTTTGGCTTTTAGTTGTACAATCGGCCAGCATCCTGACATCAACCCTCTAGGAATAATATAATAAAAAAATATGGTCATTATTAGCACTTTGATAATTAAGATAAATCACGTTATTTAAAAAAATCCAATAAGTAGTCTCAGTTAAGTAGAAACATATCACATTATTAATTAAAATATTACAAGGATCAAAATGGTTCATACTAAATCCACACCGATTGCGCTACACGGTTATTTGCGTCTGTGTGCGTGTAATACTGTGTGTGTGCGTAAATCCATGCGATTATACCTAAAGTTGAGCGGCATCATTTTGTAATAGGCCTCTTAATGAAGTTTTGTTGTGACTATTTTTTTTTTAAACAACTCATTACTCATTGTCATTACGACTATCTTGTTGACATTTCATAAATTGTAATCATTCAATTTCAATTTGAGCATTTGATTGACACCGACTGACATAACCACTGATTGTCACTGAGCTTTCTCGACTGCGTTTCGTTTCACCTTTTTGTATATAGTATTGCTTGACTTTATGTATTGATAATTATATCTATTTATACTTGTTACAGCGTCCCGGCAGGTAATCAAATTACAAAGCGTTTTTGGCGTTTATATATTACTTTAGATTAATAATTCAATTATTATAAGTTAATCTTTAATATCTATACTTATTAATATATTTATTTTTTTTTATTTTCTATATAGTATATATATATACATATATTTATTGTATAGTTTTTAAAATTAAGTACTTGAGACTCAATGCTAACTGATGAAGACTCGTATGACTCTGCAGGTGATAGTAGTTTATCGTTCCATTCCGCTAACTCACCATTTTCTGACAATATTTGCATCAAAAACTTACTATGTGAAAAATTAGAAAAATCAAAATTTTTTAATGTATGCCACATAAATGCTCAAAGCGTGCCGGCACATTATAACGACTTGCTCGACACATTTTCTGAACCTAATCTCCACGCGTTACTGATCTCAGAATCATGGTTTAAACCTGGGTTACCTTCAACAACTTATCCACTTCCTGGCTATGTCTTAATTAGGAACGACCGTACAGGTAAAGGTGGCGGCGGTGTCGCTATTTACCTGCGTAGTAATATAAATTACAAAATAATTTTATCTTCACCTTCGGAATTCGCAGGCACAGCTGAATTATTATTTATAGAGGTTGACTTCAAGGGGACCAAAGTTGCTGTCGGTGTTGTTTACTGCCCACCTTCAACAGATTTTTTCTTGGATCTTGATACTGCCATTGATCACATAAATACTTGTTATAAACACGTCATCATTATGGGCGATTTTAACACCAATCTGTTGAAGGACTCTTCTGAATCTCGCAAGTTAAAATCCATATTCGCCTCCGCGGATTTCACAATTTTACCGTTAAGGCCAACACATCACAACTTTAGCACGGATGATACGTGGTTGGACATCATCTGCACATCCTCAACCGATCATGTTATCGAGTATGATCAGTACAGCGCTCCAGCATTTTCACGTCACGACCTTCTACTACTAACTTATAAAATCAAGCCTGTTAAGCCAAAGCCAATCATCGTCAACGTGCGTAATTTCAACAGAATTGATAGAACTTTACTTTGTCAGGACGCTACACTTATTGATTGGAAGCCGCTGTATGACACTGCGGATATTAACGACAAAGTATCTGTGTTTAATGCACAGATCTTATGTTTGTTTGACAAACATGCCCCAGTTCGTAAGGTAAAACTGCGTCGTCCGCCTGCTCCGTGGATTACAGATGATGTCCGTAAGGCTATGATGAAGAGAGACAGAGCTTTTCGCACTTATAAAAAGGAGAGAAGTGCTATTAACTTTCAGCTGTTCAAACGGGCTAGAAATCGTTGCAATCAGGTGGTAAGAGCTGCAAAACGCCGACATATTCATAAAAATATTTTAAATTCACCTTCAGCAGACGTATGGAAATTCCTCAATTCCCTTGGTTTTGGGAAAGCCCCAACCATCTCCGATTTAACAGTGCCATTAAATAATCTTAATAATCACTTCTCCTCTGTAACAACTCTCAATACAAGTATTAAACAATCCACCTTACAGGAAATTAAATCCATGCCTGCACTCGCTTCTGACTCGTTCACATTTTCTCCAGTATCTGACGACGATATACGCAAAGCAGTCCTATCCATTAAATCAAATGCCAAGGGCTATGATGAAGTGAGTAGAGCTATGGTCTTTCTTCTATTAGATATAATTCTTCCTGTTCTTACTCACATTGTTAATTTCTCGCTATCCTACGGCTGTTTTCCCAAATTGTGGCTAAAGGCATTTGTTATACCCCTTGCTAAAATCTCAAATCCTTCTCTTCCTTGTCATTTTAGACCTATATCGATCTTGCCATTTCTCTCAAAAGTCCTCGAGGTTATTACTCATAAGCAAGTTTCCTCTTTTATTGCAAATTCCAACATTCTGAGTCCTTTCCAATCTGGTTTTCGACCTGGACACAGCACCACCACTGCATTACTCAATGTAACGGAAGATTTTCGTGAGGCTATGGAGAACACTCGACTTACCATCTTGGTACTAATTGACTTCTCCAATGCCTTTAATTGTGTTGATCATGACCTGCTACTGATGTTACTCTCCCATCTAAACTTCTCGCCGTCAGTGCTGGAATGGTTTTCTTCCTATCTTCGTGGTCGCCAGCAGGCTGTGCGCTCCGGGCAAGACTTATCTAACTGGTGTGACTTGGTCGCTGGTGTTCCACAAGGCGGTATTCTCTCTCCACTTCTGTTTTCTCTTTTTATTAATCTTGTTATCTCACACCTCAAATGCTCTTACCACCTCTACGCAGATGACCTACAACTTTATGCCCAAGCTGAACCTAATGCCATCAATGCAGCAGTTGATCAACTAAATGCAGATCTCGACAGTGTATCCCGTTGGTCCCGTCGTTTTGGCATATCAGTTAACCCAGTCAAATGCCAGGCGATAATAATAGGCAGCACAAAACTTCTATCCAAGTTAAATACAATCAATTCGTATGTGCGTTTTGAAAATAATGTTATCCCGTTTTGTCACTCCGTTAAGGACCTAGGTATATTGATTGACCCAACACTTCGATGGCATTTACAGGTAGCGGAGGTATCTCGCAGGGTTACAGGTATTCTCCGTGTTCTTTATCGGTTTAAATTCTTTCTCCCACCTTCCACTAAATTGCTCCTTGTCCAATCACTTATACTTCCGCATTTTGATTATGCTGACGTGTGTCTTACTAATCTCTCCCAAGATCAGTTGAATAAGTTGGACCGATTACTTAACAACTGTATTCGGTTCATTTTTGGGCTGAGAAAGTATGACCACGTCTCTAAATTTCGCTCAGAACTTAAATGGTTGTCAATTCGTAACCGCAGAAACTTGCGTATCCTTTGCACACTCTTCTCCATCATATTCGACTCTTCCTCTCCCACTTATTTGAAAAATAGATTTCGGTTCATTGGCGACTCTCATTCACGTAACCTCCGTTCAGTTCATAACCTCCTTCTCTCTACTCCTTCCCATCATACAAGCTTTATGTCAAACTCCTTCACAGTTACGGCAATTAACCTCTGGAATATAATGCCTGTAGACCTGCGTAGAGCACCGAGTAAGACCATTTTTAAAACGAAACTATTTAATTACCTGTTGAGTCGTCAAAATGAGCTTTAACTGTTTGGCGTTGAGTTAAGTAGGTACTTTCAACTATATTTAGCGTATTTATGTATTTATTCTGTATAATTTATATATTTCAATATATATATATATGTGTATGTTTAAAGTATATATTATATTTATATAACATAAATTATATATGTACATAGATTTTGTTTGCCTAATTATTTAGTACAGTATTATTATCACAAATTTTTGCCATTACTGCCCTACAACGCTTTCTAGTTCTACCCAAAGGTTAGCTGGTAGAGAATGCCATATGGCATTAAGCTCGCCTCTTGTACACTCTTTATAGTGCAATAAAGAATAAAAAAAAAAAAAAAAAAAAAAAAAAAAAAAAAAAAAAAAAAAAAAAAAAAAAAAAAAAAAAAAAAAAAAAAAAAAAAAAAAAAAAAAAAAAAAAAAAAAAATATCCCTAGACAATTCACACAACATTATAAGTACTTAGGCTATTTTTATTTTAGATATATTGTTCATTTTAATAAATAAAAAAATAAAATTCCATGCGCACGAAGTCGTGGTAAATGACTACTAAGAAATAAAATCATTAATATTTTTGTACAATATGTAGATATATTTATCACTTACGTCTTGTGTGTATATAAGTTTCTCAGCAAAGCACAGTGCGGTCGCCTTTATGATGTATTTCAGATCCGCTTTGTTGGGGTCTATTAAATGTAGTTCTATAAGTAACTCGGCGGGCGTGACTGCAAATAAACACATAGAAAATGTTATTGCCTGATCATATTAGATTAGAATAAGTTACATTGGAAATTAACTATATAATGAATCTGAATAACTGTCATTTGGGATAAGTCCGCCATTGTACAATTTATTTTTATGATCATTGCATTGTGTGTATTTAAATGTTTTTACTGAACAACAAACAAACATATACAAAACAAATTATATCCGAGGATCATAGATAGAAGTACATATGTTATAATTATTGCAATCAAAATATCTTGTACTTTAGAAATTATTTTACTATATTTATACTTTAGGGTGAACCAATTAATAATAGCATATACGCGTGAAAGTGATCGACTTTAAACTAAAATCATTTTCTTGACTAATGCAATTTATTCGTGCGTCACAGGCTACTTTTAATCTTGGCTATACAATAGTTTGTGCCGTGCGAGGAATCGAACCCACGACCGTCAAAGGTAAGGCAGTGTGCTAAACCTCTATCTAGACCATCGAGGCCGTAATAGGTAGACAGTTTTTTTACGGTTAAATATTGGTATAAGAACAATAAAACTACTTACAAACCATGCACACTGAAAAATTAAACAGTAATAAATTGACCATTTTTAAAGTGATATCGAAGTTTTGACAAAGTTCTGAGCAAAGGTAATGTACCACAGACAAGGAACGATTTTTTAAGTGGTCACATTCGACATTCGACATAACGAAATCGTGTAGTTAAGTACACACTGAAACTGATTTTCATCCCTGTTTTATAGGTGTGTAAAATATATTAAAGATACCTTTAATCCTTTACAGGTTTAAACATTTGATTTATAAATGTTTCCATTGGTCTATCATAAAATTGAAGATACGTTTATTCAAATTAAATATGACAGTATTAAAAAATAGATTATATAAGTATTTAACATTATTATATGTACTACAAGACATCCATTTTTATAGCATTTACTATAAAACAATATGACATTATATAGTAGTATATTTGTATATGTTTTTATTTTTTTATATATGTAACTAATTGTCTTATATCTTCAACAATAACAACAAAACATTAGAGATATAATTACTACACTTTAAATTTGAGACTATCATCTATCATCGCCTTACTTTGTTCCTAATTATTAGATATGCTTTATACTTGCAGACATATTTATTTATCATTAGTCATTACCTGGTGAGTTCTCCTCATTAATATTTTGTAAGCCCAGCAACTTGTTAAAAACTTCTTTTACCACAACGGGATTCAACTTGATAAATTTAGGTAACGCAGCACAAATCTGAAATATGCAAATACTCTATATAATAGAAGCATAATAATCTTTATTATAAATAATCTTTATTATATCATTACATAGTACAAGACAAAGACTCTCTCACTGTCTGTCCCTATGTATGCTTAAATTTTTAAAACTACGCAACGGAATTTGAAGCTATTTTTTTTAATAGATAGAGTGATTCTAGAGGTAGGTTTATATATATAATACATGAAGATCCGTACGAAGCCGGGGCGAGTAATTAGTACAGTACAAAGTACAAAGTCGCCGCCGCTGTATGTTCACTTATGTATTTCAAAACACGCAACGGATTTTAATACAGTTTTCAGCAACAGATTGAATGATTCAAGAGGATGGTTTATATTATATGCTATACTATACTATAACATGTATGTTATAGTTTAGAACAAGACGAGTAATTCAAAGATTTCTAATGCATAATCGTGCGAAGCCGGTATTGGGTCGCTAGTTAAAGATAAATAAACAATCCTATAGTTCATTAAGAGTCATCAATCATCATAAACTTACAGTCACTTTTCATCGTTTAATCCCAAAGCAGTACTACTACTGTTGTATACAAGTAATATAAATAGGTACTTAAATACATTTTTATAAACATATACCTATACAAATATTATTAAAAGATATAGTGTGTGAGTTTAGATGATAGGGGTAATCACTGGTTCCATTTTAAAAATTCTTTTAGTGGTCATTTATTGAGGGAAGCAATTATACAAGATACATATGTACATCAGTAGAAGATATATAGATAGAAAACACCCAGCCAATATAATCAATTATACACATCAATACAAAATTGTGTCTAACGAGAATCGAACCCGCAATCATTGAAAATAAAGCGGTGTGCTAAACCAATAGACCACAGTGGCCCACAAAGTTACTAAGGTCAATTATAAGGAATGGCTCACTTCTTTCTTGGATAATCCCGTGAGTACAGGTATAAGAAACCGTACGTCTGATACCCGCGTTGCGTACAGCTCCCGCACACGTGACACCAGCTCCGCACTAGGTGGCGCTGCAAGCAACACATATTAATTACTAGTTGTCCCGGCAAACGTTGTTTTGCTATATAAATTTATTAATTTATAGCGTTATTAATCTATAAAAAAATAATGGTTGATAGTAGAAGGGTGAAAATTTAAGGCCGTAAGAATTTTTAATGCCACATAATAAAATAAAAAAAATAAAAAAAAAATTTGGTGTGAGCCACCCTTAACACTTGGGGGTTTTAAAATTGGTTATAAACCTATTCTCAGACATACTGAATATACAAATAAAATTTCATCAAAATAGGTGAAGCCGTTTCGAAGGAGTATAAACACGCAACCTGTGACACGAGAATTTTATATATTAGAAAATTAGATTACTATCTAATGTATTCTGGGAGTTAAGATTTATATCTATATATGGGATAATTATTTATTTAAACTTTATTGAATTGTACAGTTGGCCATAATGCTCTTATCTACCATCCAACTTTAAGGTATGCAGAGATACTCCAAGGTGTCCATAGGCTACGGTAACCGTTTACAATGAGATGGTCTGTATTCTTGTTTGCCGTAGTAAAAAAACAAAAAGAACATGTTTTATAAATACTAAAATAATACTCATTAATTTTCATTCGTAGTGGACATATGCTCTAATAAAAACTAACCTTTCTCTGTGAATATATGTACGAGTCGAGTTAAGAGGGTCTCGGCGCCACGTGGGCACTCGTCAAGCAGGGCCCGGAATGCGGGCCGTAGGTGCGGCGACGCCGGCTCGCCGCCAGCGGCGCCCATCGCGGCCCGCACCGGGCCTTCCATCGCGCGAAGAACCACGCGCTTCGCCTCAGACCCCGCACATCCGTACACGCGACCCACTTCCACTATAAGCTCTGACAAAATAACAATTCATTAAATGTAGACATATCACTTACGAGCACATATTATACGAGTAGGTGCAAGACATCTTATAGACATATTTAAAAACTTTTTTGTAAATACCTATATATAAAGGATTGAAAAGCGAGGTCGTGTGCAAAAACATTTCGAAACAGAGGTTGTCAATTGCATAAAAACTAATCCTGGAACATTTTCCGTAAATAAATGATTCTATTTACCCACTGATCAAACAACAATCACAATTGCAACTTATAAATGTACAATGCTAAAAAGGTGCATCCATTCAAAGATGTTTGACCTTAATCCATTTTTAGCTACACAAACATATCATATCATTTTGAATGAACAATGCATCGTCCTACTTTACAATCAGTAAAAATATATTATGCGAGTATATTTTAAAAGAGACACAATTCCTCTATGCTCCATACACAGACAAATTCATACTAAAATTATAAATGCAGAATTTATTGCCTCTTTACGTTTTTTTTTAATTTGATGAAAAGATAAATTATATCACAAAAATGGAAACATCTTATCTTCAAAATATCAGACGAAGTCGCTTGTAACAACTAAAACACAACGAATGACAATGGAATGAATATGGACGCTATATGAATTAAAATAAATCACTAACCTTCATTATAAGGAAACAGAGCCATAACCAAATTTAAACACATTTTGAACATCTCATCATTCCATGGCATCGACAAGCCGTGTCTGGCGGTGAGCAATTCAGGTGTTTGACTTCCTAGTGAGATGAATCCTAAATATAACAGTGCATGCTTCTCTATCACTTTCTTTACAGATTCTGTACTACGAGTGTAGATCTTGACCACTGATTTTAAAGCACTCTCCCTAATTTCTTCATTTCTCGATACTGCAAAGTCATTAAATTATTTTATTATACTTAACAACTTAATTCTATACACATGGAATTCGATTTTACAGATACACTATGGATATAACGTTTTCATACGACGACCGTTATTATTTATGTAGTGTAAGTTACTTGTGACGAAAACTGTAAAACTAACTTTCTGGAAAGACAGATTTAATGTCAAAGTCAAAAAGGCATAAGAAGCGTACAGAAATACTAGAATCATGTTTTTATTAGAACACAATAGAAACATGCCATCTGATTTTTAATGGTCATAACCTAGGCATGCAAAAATGTAACATGTTTAGGGAAATATCCACTAGAATGGAAGACAAGTTAGTATGAGAAGTAGTAGTATTAACTTATATTAGTACTTATTGTTATAGCATAAAAAATAATACTAACAGACATGGCATATGAGCGATGGCACATACTTATGAGCACGAGGTGGTCTCATTATACACAGTTCTTCCAATATTTCTAATGCTAGAAATGCAAACTTCTCTTCAGTCACTAAATGTTTTAAATAATCTACAGCTTCATCTGTAACTAATGGAGCTTCAGCATATATTTTTCTAAGTAATACATCTTTTGCGTTTTCCACTACAAGATCTCCTCCCTCTGACATTTCTGTAATAAGTGTACACAGCAACTGATTGTAATTCTGATCAGGTTTCTCATGAACTTTGGGCTGCAGAGTCACTGGATGACGATTGAATCCCTGCATAAAAGCATATTCCTCATACAGCCATGATATAGCCAAATCTATTCTGTTCAATGGGTCTTCTAATATATAATTTTGAACTAGATTTCGAATTTCTGGTGTATAACTTGATGCAAAAATAGTTATAAACTTTGATCGAATTTGAGAGGCGCCACCGATAGCACTTTCCTTTTCCGCGTGTAAAATTCTTCCAACTGCTTGAATCATTAACTTCTCTTTTATTTCTTTGGGTATGGGACGAGTTATTTCTTGTAATTTCAACAGTTTGACTTTTTGTTTTAATTTAGGAACTGTAGGTGTAGGTGGGGGTACAATCTTTTCTTTTTCTTTAGCTCTTCTCTCCTCTTCTTTTAACTGTTCTTGACGTGTCTCTTCCATTAGTTTAGAAACCGCACTTTCAACTTTTCTTTCTATTTTTGTGGACTCTTGTAACTTAGCAACAGCATTTTTTAGAGTCATTTTCTCATCATCATCTCTAAGTAAAGGAATTTTAGCAGCAATATCTGACAGAGATGGTCGCTCATCCACCGGTGGAACAACTGGTTCATCTTTAATTAGGGACAACAACATTTTTGCTAAATTCCTCTTTTGTGCTTTGCTCCCCGAGTTAGGTATGGGTTTATAAGCATTAAGAAAATAATTGGGCATTTCATTGGGAAGTGTATTTAATAATGTATTCGTTACAAGGTTGACGACATTATCAACATTGTTCAAACCTTCAAAAAGTGTGTCTTCTGTAACTGAAGATTTCAGCATAGACTGATTGCTGTCTTCTTCAAAAAGATTAAAATCACTCCGACTGTTACTGTTACTGTCACTTTCTTGACTATTACTTTGAGGAGAGTCTATTCTAATTCTTTTTGAAGGAGTATCTCCATTCTTAATTTCACCCAACCGTTTATTCCTTTTTTCTTTAGGTACGGCCTTGTTTATTTCCTGAGTTGTCATGCCTATATCGATGAGCAGTTGAGTAAGTTGCGGCAACATTTCGTTAGATGACGGATGCTTTATTAGGTTTATCAACAACATCTTCAAATGTTTTCTTACTGAATTGACTTGGGATTGTGACAATGTCGGTGGTAACGTAGTATGTAGGTCGCCCAGTGCTTGTATGACTCGGGCCAAGTATTTGGGTCGTAATTTTGCAAGTAGGCATAGAGTTGTCATACAAGCCATCAAGTTCACACTAGAAATGTGTTGTGAATTATGAAATTTAACTAACAACTTGAATATGTGCCTGAAAATATTAAATGTAATAAATATTCACATTTTTTAACATCTAAAGTTTTAATACAAGTACATGTATTACCTACAGTATCATATTATATTGTTTGGAACTTATATATTAGAAAAAAAAAACGTAATTACATGAATAGCAATAAAGATACTCACTCTGATTCCTCTTCAAGAGCTAGTCTGTTTATGAATGGCAGATGCTTTGGTAGGCTGTCTAAACTCAATTCATTGTCTGTACCTTCACTTGAGCTCTGAAGTAATACCACCTCCTCCAAAAACTTAATTGAATTTGTACGAATGCCTTCATTGTCACTGTCTATCATGTTTAAAACCAACAGCTGTTGAAGGAAGAATTAGATTACTGGCTATATTTAAGTATTTGAAATTAAACTAAGTAAATTTAAGAATATTAATAATATGAACATGTTAAGTGTTCCATTCTTAATGATGTTGATAGTTAACTATACTTTTTGTAATTAGTGTTAAGGTATACTTTTTAGATTTAACAAAATTATGTTCTTATGATCATGACAAAGCAAAACACATTTACATATAAATGACTGTAGTAAAATAAAATTTTCATAGGATATGTTGTTATATACTATATATATTCATAAAAAATAAAAAAAGCGGTACAATAATTATTTTTGATAAGATTTTATTAATATGCCACCTATTTTATTATTAATGAAATAATACATGGTGTAAAAAGTTATTTCATTTTTGAAGTCTACTAATGTACAAACATAAAGTTGAGGGCACAACTAGTAGTATTATGATTGAAAACTAACCTTCAACTGTGTAACATGTTCCCAAACGAACTGTAACTCAGTTGACTCAGCATCACTCATACAAATCCATGTTAATGTATTTCTATACACAATACTGGCAGCCTGTATGGCTCTCTTCTGTACGGCAATCACATTGTCTAAGAGGAGAAGCCGAAGCTGACTGACCACCTTGGGTAAGTGATCTGGATGTTTTTTACTAAAATCACAAATAATGGAGACAAATTTCTTAGCATTCATTATCATGTGGCACAGAGGGGAAACAGAGCAGTGATCCAGGTATAGGTTTAAGAAGCCCCTTAGTCGGCATATGTTAACATGAACCTTCACCATCCATGTTTCTGCCGAGTCAAGTCTAGTAGTAGCCTGCGAGTATTCAGATATGTATTGTAGTATAGAACATACTGCAGTGCTAGACAGACCAAGATCTTTTAGAAGATGGTAGAGAGATTTCGCTGGTATACCTTTCAAAGTGGGAATTTCAACCACATATAAATTAAACAAACAAAGAAAACATGGCCATAATGAAATTAAGTTGCTTGTCAGCAAACCAACTTCTTGTTGATTAATGATTAACGTATATCACTATTTTTAACCAATTAACAATAGTGTACTATAATTTACAATGTTTTAGTAGTATTCCTAATTATTTTGAATACTGAAAATACTACTTGACTGAATCCAATGCAATATAAGTAGGTTTATTTTTTATTTAACTGAAAATGCAACAATCAATGACCCACTTGATGGAATCGTTGTGACTATCAACTATATGACAAGTAGGTACATGAATAGCACCAAGGACACATATGACACTTGCAATGTGCTACTCATGTGTACTATTCCAGAACACTAAGATATCATATCTCTTATCCTATAATTTCACTGCCTAATCTGTACTCTACAAACACTACTACAACTTACAAATAAACAAGTCAACTTTTTTACAGTCTTCCTAAAATACTACTTCTATATAACTCTTTTAAACTTCTTCATATTATATAGATTTATTATAATTATTTGAGATAAATTAAATCATATTTGCAAATGCAATACTAGTGAGCTTCAGTCATAATCATTAAAGCAAAAATACAGATCAAGCAAAGTCTATGAAGTTTTTAATTTCTAAGTAATTGCTAAAATGCACAAAAAAATTATAATGAAGATTATTAAAACTGGGAACCAATTCCACCATTGCAGATAATGTATCATTTTAACTTGACCACCACACGGTCTACCTAAAAATTGCCATTAATTTACAGTAGGCTAAGTGATCTGATATCATCTTATCTTATATCTTCTAGTGTTATTTCTGTCTATGCTAATTGTATATGCTGGCTGGGTTCATATACCATTAGCATAAGGAGGAAGCTTCATTTCATTATAATCCATAAAATTACAAAGGTTATTTTTATATGATTATTTAATTTAATTAAATAACCTATTAATTGCATAGATCTTCAAAATTATCTCACCTCAACTCTTCAATGAAACCAACAACAATTTTTTTAACGTCGGTAGATTTATCACTAACACAACTTAATATATTGTCCATATATACAGGGATCATCTGAGGCGTTTGATGTAAAAGGATTTCTATGGATTTTCTTAGTAAATCTGCCTTCTTGTTGCCCTCCGCCATTCCTGCTTCGTTGAGCCATTGTATCAACTGTTAATAAAAACAACTTTATAATAAAAGTCAATATCCAGCTAAAAATATTACAATACATTTATTGTAGTAAATTTAAAATATATCAGCGCGATCACAATGTGTAACAAACCTGATTCTGTGCGAGAGTGGTACTTTGATGGTATTTATTAGACATAATGGCAGTATTATATCCAGTTAAATTTCAAACATGTGAAATATCATTCATTTTATATTAGAATCTGTAATATTTTTATCACAATTATTTGCATCTACAAAGAAACATTTACGAATTTAAATACAGCATACGATACAATGAAATGACATGGAATCAAATTCAAATTTAAAAAGTCTCTGTACTCTGTGCTGTCACAAAATGACAAACGAAATCAGATTAATGACTCACTACCAGACCAAGATGTTGTGAAAATTAATTTAGACCTTATTTAGAAGCAATAAAGTTTATTTTTATGAAATGTAGGAATGTACATATCGACTTCAAATGTAAAACTTTATATTAAAGCACTCTGTCCCTTTCGCATTATTTTAGTAAAATGAACAAATTTTTAGCAATTTACAAAATTTGTTACTAAAAAAATAAAAAATCTTTATTTAGAAGTATATTGATAAAGAAATGCGTATTTATAAATTGCCAGTATACCTTCCTTAAGTTTAACTCCATGGAGTAGAATATATAATATTCAATATTACATATTCAATTACGCACTACTTTCTTTAAAAATTATTTATAGGTTTCAGACTTTTGAGTTATGAAAATAAAGTATTAACATCTGTATAAAGTTTCTAGTATTATTATAACCTAAATAAAATCAATAGCTATATATATATATATATATATATATATATATATATATATATATATATATATATATATATATATATATATAAATATCCCCTTGGGCACTTTGTGGCTCAGACGTGCCGTATAGGTAGTTTTTTGTTGATCCTTTTTCACTTGTTGATCCGGAGGCCTTTTGTTGATCTAATGCCAAATGACCATATATAAATGTTGATCCGTTTTGAGCCACAACTGTCACGACGAGTAATAATAATAATTACGCGATTTATACACGATTTTATACAAATCCACCTTTTTGGCATACGAGCAGTTCTTGATCCAATTCAAACGGGCCAATCAGGGTGCAGCATTTGCCAAGGGCTTCCTCATTGGCACGTTTGGGCTACTACATTATGGCTACAGTAACTTAATAATGTCTAGCTAGTATTTCAAGAATAATAGTCTATCTAATCTAAATATTCATAGAAATCAGTCTGGAGTAACGTGACTCCAGATCAAACCTCAATACTTATTATTTTTTTGGACGGGAATCTTTTCTTTTGTAACAACGTTACTGAGCGAATAAAGAGAAGACGCAACGGCGGATCCAGGGGGGAGCGTCATGGAGGTCATGGGAGTCATGGGGGCGTCATGACTCTCCCCCCTTAGCCCAGGACTTAGGTAGACCACTAATTGAACTAAAAAATAATGAAACAGCAAATTTTTTTGCACGATCGGAGTGTTGGTGCAGTAGTATTAATTATAATTAAACATTGTTACTTAAAACATATCAGTTAAAGTACTATAACACTAAAAGCAAAATAGGTATTTTCAAAATACTTTTTCAAAATAAATTACCCTTTGAGTTTTTGTCCAAACCTCAGATATTTTATTTATTTTAGGTATATCAATCATTACATAGTATAGTATAGTATAGTATAAAACAAAGTCGCTGTCGCATCTAACAAGTACATAAATAAAGAAAGAAGACTTTTTGGCTCTGAATATATTTCAAAAATCAATTACTTGTGTTAATCAATTTACATACTCGTTCTTATTTCATAGTATAGTGTTTTGATCCGAATATATACAGATACCGTAACGGTCTATTAATTATGAATTTATTATACCTAACCTAGATATTTTATTTTGACGAAACTCCGTGTAGTAGTAGTATCCGATAAAGGTATGCGAACCCTAAGTATTATTTCAAAATGACCAGTAATTTCGAAGAAATAAGCCTTTGAATTTTGAATTTTGATTTTAATAAGCCTTTGAATCAACTTACCAAACGGACGCTCAAGGTTCGATTCCCGCCACCGATTTTTTTTGTTATTTTTTTTTGTCTTTATTCTAATTTTAAATTAACTATTTTAATAATTAAATGAATTTAATCGAACAAAACGTTGTTAAGTATTCAATTAATTTTAATTTACATTACCTATTGTACTTTCTAAATTGTAAAGCAGCTAACAATTATAGTAAGATCTTATAAATAACTAACACAACAAGTAAAACATTTTAAATGTATTTTCTTTATTATTACAAATATTTTTTATGCATAATATAATAGTTAATATCACTTAAAATTAATTTAATACTTAACAACGATTTTATCGATTAAATTCATTTAAATATAACCCATAAATGTATAAATATTATATATAAATAAATACATAATGATCTGATAATCATATTATAAGTACAGTCTCAAATTGAAAGTAAGAAAAACAGAAAATATAGAGAGAACTATAGGGATATAACAGAAAGATGTGAAAATTGGAGAAGGACAGTAAAAAAGTTACAAATTTAAATAATGTTCCCGCAATTTCTGTTTAAATGAATTTATTACATTATTATATATATTAGGCATACGACTAGCCTTATGACTGTTACTTTTTTTTTAATCTATACATCTATACATGTAAATAAAATTGGAGTGTCTGTTTGTAATATTGAAATAACCGTTTTTACTACTTGCATATGAATATAAATACGGTATACACCAAAATAACACATTTTACAAGTTTTGTCTGTCTGTCTGTCTGTTTGTTCCGGCTAATCTCTGAAATAGCTGGACCGATTTTGACGGGACTTTTTTTGGCAAGTAGCTGATGTAATAAGGAGTAACTTACGCTACTGTTATTTTAGAAAAATAAAATAAAATTTCACGCGGACGAAGTCGCTGGGGCCAGCTAGTCTATAGATATACCGAGATTTAATATTTAAGTTGCTATTATGTTGTTGACAAAATTTTACTGTAATGTTACTATTACGTTATCCTACACAATTTGTATTATTTTGGATGAATAAATAAATAAATAAATAATAATCTATACATCTATACATATAAATAAAATTGGAGTGTCTGTTTGTAATATTGAAATAACCGTTTTTTACTACATGCATATGAATATATATAAGGTACATATACCAAAATAACTATTTTTATAATTTTAGTCTGTCTGTCTGTCTGTCTGTTTGTTCCAGCTAATCTCTGAAATGGCTGGACCGATTTTGACGGGATTTTTTTTGGCAGGTAGCTGATGTAATAAGGAGTAACTTAGGCTACTTTTATTTTAGAAAATAAAGTTAAAAACCACGTGGACGAAGTCGCGGGTACAGCTAGTGTATAATATATTAGAGATACCTACGTGTTTTTTTATTGATGACTAGCTGTACACGGGATTTCGTCCGTGTGGAATTTCACTTTATTTTTCTAAAATATAAGAAGTTAAATTCCACGCGGACGAAGTCGCGTGTACAGCTAGTTGTCGGTAGTCTAGCGATTTAGCTAGCACACCGCTTTGATTCCTGCTTGGTGGTCGAGGGTTCGATTCCTCGCACGCTGCAAACATTTGTATTCATGAGTATGATTGTTTGTAACGGTCTGGGTGTTTTCTATGTATAGATAATATATATGTATTTACCACAAAAAATCTTTGTATTTATATCAGTTGTCTAGTACCCATAACATAATCTTCAGCTAGCTTAACTTGGGTCTAGACGAAGCTGTGTGAATTGTCTTGAGATTACTATTATTACTATAATAAATCTTTTCAAATCAGCCGATGTTTATTTTTGCCATAATACGTGCTGTTACCATGTGATAATATTACGTACGTACTTATTAAACTATTAACTTATTATTAAATTATTAACTATTTATACTGTTTTAAATGTGATGCGTTCATTATTTATATTTCCTTTGAATTAAAGACAAATGTATATATATATATATACATTTATATAAACTTGCACACTTAGTTGATCCAGCCACGATCCGTAGATATTGCTGATTCCACTGTCTCTCTCTTTCTATCACTATAACGGTAGCGTGGTGGAACGGCAACATGTTGCCGTTCCGCGTTCTACCACTATCTTTGTATTCTAATATGCGATGTTGCCGTTCCGGCCGAGACCATGCGTTGTTGCCAAATGTATTCGTCGATAGTAGTAGATACTCGATATATATTTTTTCAACAATTTTCTGCAATAGTGAATCCGTATCGGCAAAATTTTTTAAATGCACAAAGATTTTTTGGCTCTGAATATATTTAAAAATCATTTACTTGTGTGTTGATGAATTTATATACTAGTACATGAAGTACCTAATACTTGTTTTGATTTGAATAGGTAGCGATATTATGAATTTATTATACGTAATCTAAAGATTTTGACGAAATAAAAGTAATTAGTTATCTGTTAACCTTGACTTCATGCTGGCACCAGTATTATCAGATGATGAACATACTCTTCGAAAACTTACAGCAGAAATATCGTGTTTGGACTCATTAGATAGGTCTCGATGAATAGAGTTTAAAAAACTTAAAATAAATGGTAAATTAGAAATAATGTATAAATACCCCTTACGTAAAATTCAACCACTTTAAACTTAATAATAATAATAATTAGGAAAAGAGAAAAGCTATACATGCACTGAAAGTAATTGATGCCTTCCACACAATATTTTCAGTATTAAACAACTCTGTTTGTTCAGTAAAAGTGTAAATACACTGGTAACCTTTAATCATATTTTATATGCAAACATTACATATACAAACCCTAAAGTTTTATTTCAGAATGGCCAGTAGTTTTGAAGAAATAAGTCTTTGAAATTGTACGTGTAACTTATATATATACTAGTTTTTTCACCATAACAAACAACACCAATATGGCCTAGTTAGTAGTTTACCTGTGTACCATTTAATAATAATAGTAATCTCAGGACAATTCACACAGCTACATCTAGACCCAAGTTAAGCTAGCTGAAGATTATGTTATGGGTACTAGACAACTGATATAAATACAAAGATTTTTTTCGTAAATACATATATATTATCTATACATAGAAAACACCCAGACCGTTACAAACAATCCTACTCATGAATACAAATGTTTGC